CTTCACACTGCTAACTTGCTGGGCAAATGGAGGAAAAGGCAGAGCGAGTAGACGTTTGCATGGTGGACCTCGCTATGGTGTCCTGTCTATGTTGACAGCTCCATTCTTAGTGTGTATACACGCCCTTTCGCATCCTAAAATGATTTCCCCCTTGACTTTCCGGACTTCCTCCCTTCGCCCTCCGTTGGGGTGCCTCTCCCTTCGACTGTCGTAACTCGACTGTTTACAATGTCTCAGCTTCACTCTTCACGCATTTCGCTGGCTCTCTCACCCCCAACCAAATCACCCTCTAACGCCCCTTAATCTCCCCCCCCGCTCATTTTTCACCAAACGATTTCAGGACGACACAATCTGGGTCGCCGCCGAGGTTGCTGCCGTTGGCTTTTTGTCCAAGTTCCCCGGCCTGGAGCTCGTACAGCAGGAGCAGGTGGACAAGACGGGGACCTCCATCCTGTACAGGCATCTCGTGCAGGCAGCCGTGTCGCACAAGGGATCGCTGGTGGGACATACCGTACGCGACGTTCGCTTCCGTACAACGTACAACGCTGCCGTGGTCGCCGTACACAGGTATGTACGGCATGGCGGGGCGGCTTCTGTGTTTTGGGATGATGCCAAAGTAAAATGCGAGAACAGTTGGGTGACCTGCAGAGCTTGCAGCTAGAACAGACGGTATTGTCGAAATGCTATGTCGTACATGTCGGGCGAATACTTTGCGGGTCCTTCTCCTCGTGCTCTCCTTCCTCGCTTAGGCTTACCCCTCGGGCGTTCATTTCCAACCTCAACCTGGCGTTGGAAAGCGCGTCGTATCGCTTACTTATCCTAATGCGTTTTCATTTTGCCACTCCTCACACTCTCTGCGTTACCCCCCTTCCCTCTCCCCCAATGTGTGCGACGTGCAGGGAGGGTGTGCGTATTCCCCTCAAGGTCCAGGACATTGTGCTCCAGGGAGGAGATGTACTGCTGCTCAGCTGCTCGACTAAGTGGACTGAGGAGCACAGACACGACAAGGCGTTCGTACTGCTGCAGGTGTGCACGACGAGGGGGATTAGGCCGAGCCTCCAAAGGTTATAAACGCTGCGCAATAAATTCTTTTCCATCGTCCTCTCGCATATAGTTTGCCCGCCATGTTTTTCTTATTGAGATTCTCTGTATTGTAAATAGATTCTAGTAAACTCGGACATTTTTGCCATGTCTTTCCAATCGCCACATCGTTCCTTTTTTTGTTCGCAGGCTGTTCCCGACAGCTCTCCGCCCAAGCGCCGCTCCATGATCATCGGCGTGCTGTTAGTGACGGGCATGGTCCTGACCCAGATTGTGGGAGGTCTCAAGAACCGCGAGAC